TGGTCCAAAGTTATTACCATGATTGTTACCATTAAATCCACTGCTTCCCATATTATTGCCGTTACCAAAATTATTATTTCCGAAATTGTTGCCGTTATTACCACGCATATTGTTACCACCAAAATCATTGTTATTGCCATTGCCGTTGTTGAAATTTCGATTATTACCAAAATTATTAAAATCTCCAAAATCGTTTCCAAAGTTTCCATTACTATTATTAAAACGATTATTGCCACCGAAACCACTATTGTTGTTATTTCCATTGCCGAAACCTCCTCCGTTATTTCCAAAATTGTTGCCAAAATTTCCACCGTTGCCATTGTTAGACCCAAAACTATTTCCAAAATTTCCAGAATTCATTAGTCCGGGCAAGTTATTGAATCCCAAAGTGTTATTGGCACCGATGCCAAAACTGCCACCATTGCCACCATTGCCACCCCAATCTTTGAAAAAATATATAAAAATTTTAAATTTAATTTTCAATAATATTAAATATTTTAGTATGACATATATTACCATTGTTACCGCGCATATTGTTGCGTCCATAATCGTTGCCACGGTTTCCCCCACGGTCTCTAATATCATATGGACTGGGTCGTCCATTACCTGATGCTGCACGTTTTAATTCAGCCAAAGAACTGCGAAAAATTTCAATGTACCTAAGGATATGTTTAAAACTATTAAATTAACTTGTACAGTAATGGTTCTGTTCAATGGTTATTCAATTGTAAATTATATAATTGTGTATGTGTGTAAATTGTGTTCTAAATGCGACATCAAGTTTTAATAAGTTTTAGCATTGAACAATGTATGCGTGCGTGGTAAAGAACCCAGCCATAACCCGATAGCCCGTAATTAGAGTAAATTTTTTTATGTAATTTAAAATGGATTAAAATGCATTTTCATGTTAACAGCATTTACCCCATTCTAAATATGCAACGGAAATTTCTTATAACTTTTATGAAAATTCCTTGGATGCTTTATATAAATACTGAAATTAAAAATTATTGCTTCATAATATATTGAGTTAAGAATATTCTTAGTTACCATATTAAATTTTTAAGAAACGACATAAGACAACCCACCTGTGCCCAATTTTTTCCCGATTTCGTCCCAAGGCTTGTTCAGTGTCTTCCTGGCTTTCAAACTGAACAAATGCTTCCCCTGTTGCACGACCCCTTCTGTCCATAACAAAAAGAATCCCCTCCCGATCCGGTTTGATTTCCAACCCTGCCCATGACGACAACCAAAGTGATATAATACAATAAATTGCTAATATGCTATGAAAGCTTCTATTGTAATGCTAAAGATTTTACCATAATAAAGTGTGTACGTTTAACCTATACTTATTTCTTATATCATAAAAATAACAAAATAAACATATAATTTTATGTAAGACTTAATTGTAATTTTGAGAAACAAAAGAACCAGAATTTTTCAAAAACAAAAAATTTATATGGAACAAAAAGCTTTTGCCCATGGTCTGTTATTTGAAGTTACTAATGCAATAATAACAACTTGCCTGACGACGGGTTTAGCAATTTTTTATTGAAATCCAAAAAAAATATATATATGTAATATATTTCTCCAAACAAAACATGCAAGTTTCACAATGAATTGGAAGTATATTGAACATTTTTGTCAAAATTCTTTCACTTACCATTAAAGAATTCCTCGATTTGCTGCTCCGTTACAGCATAGGGTAAGCCACGTAACTTGACAACGTAAGACATACCATGACTACTAGTTTTACGCATGGCTTCCTTTGCCTCCTTAGAAGAAGCAGTAAACACTGGATATGTAATCATTTAAATTAGAAATGAAATTTTATTATATAAACTATTATGATACCTTCTATATACCGATGTCCCATAGATGCTTTGTTCAATTTACGTGCTTCCTCTACATCTTTTGCACTCTCCACTTCGACATAAGCTTCACCAGTGTTCTTTCCATCCCAACGATTAGTCACTAAATGTATGCCCTTGGAACCGTCAATTACATTAACATTTTTTAAAAAATCTAATATTTCTTGATGTCTAGCCGACCAAGGTAATCCACGAAGACGTATATATTTGGGAATAATTATTCCCTTTAATTTTAATTCTTGCTCCTTGTCGTTAACGTCATAATCGGGATCGTCCTCCTCATCATCATCATCATACTCAACATCTTGCTTCAAATGTTTTTGTTCGTAATTAGATTGATGATCATCATATTCTTGAGAATAATTCTCATTCTTAATTTGTACATCAAGAGACATTTTTCTTTGATTTGAAAATTCTAAATTAAATAAAAAAAATCAAATTATACAAACAGAATAAAAAATTAATTTAAAATTTTATAATACTGACAGGAAGTATTTTTACTAATATATAGTTTTGCACTAATAATGAATATATATTTATGTTAACCATAAATTAAAACATAACTTAGAGGATCTAAGTAATTCAATTTTCTGTCCATTTATTTATGCCACTGTCCGCCATTTTAGATCCTTTTAACCAAGTTATTAACGCTTTATGCAAACTCATATCTAAGTCATTATTAAATAAAACACAATATACAATGTGCTTTTATTTGTACTTACTAGTATTGTAAGGCTTTTTATAATATTTCCAGCACTTTGCAATAATTTAAAAAAAAAACCACAAGCCACAAACACCGCACAGAAAAATCGAAGCAACGACACAATGTAAAAAATATGTTTATGAGGTAAGTGAATTGTGTTTGAAGATGTGAAACTCACTATCTCAGCAAATTAACAGACTAGTCCATTAAGAAAACCTGTGAGTAAAATATTTGGTGTTTACATTAATATTCAAGAATAATGAATATTAATAAAAATTCTTCAATCAAATTTGCTTAAAAATGCAATAATAACAATATTACAAATTTAATTTAATTATGTGTTAATATTTTACCCTCAAATATATATAATTATTGGGCTTTTTTATTGTTTTAAATATATCTATATACATTGAGTTTAGAATATTGTATATTCAATTATACATTCTATGACTTATAATGCATTTCCGCAAAAAGAAAATTAAGAAGGGGAATATATAAATAAAATATAAATGTTTTATATATCATACAACTCTTATATGCTTATACGGAAATATATAAACAGTTAAATTAAACATTAAATTTGATATAAAAGTAATATATACTTTTATATATATACAAGTGCGTTCCACCAGCAAAATTTCGAGTAAATTAGAGTATTTGAGGGAGCATAACATCCCTCTCGGTTTGAAAATGCAACACAGACTTTACTCGAACATTTTCTTTTAAGTAAAATTTGTGTAATGTGAATCAGCTGTTTTGGCTTAAATTTAAATTTTTGTATTGTTTATTTGCACGGCACTGGTGTTCTCACCAAACTTTACACAAACTTGTTCCTTGAAAATCTGTGTAAAGAGCGTAATTTAGCACTTTATTTGTGTTACGCTCTCAGTTTGTACTTTACTTGTGTTTTACTTGAATTTTAGTGCGAGTAGTTCGTGGAACAGACTTATTATGTATTATGTAATGCTTACACTTAATTTACCTCAATTAGCGAACCGGTATATATTATTAAACAACCGAAATCATAATATATAAATTTGAATATAATATAGAAGAAGTATTCAGAATGTCTGAATACTATTTACAAAAACAATTCTCTTTCTTATGATTCTGCATTTAATTTGTAAGACAATATCCAAGACCATATTTTCAACACCAATTATCTCTTGCATATTTGATTTCCAAGACTCTATTGTGAATGATACTACTTTTTTTACGGTTCGCTAGGCAATACTTAAACAAAACTGTCAAGTTTTGTTTGATTTTGTAATTTTGTGATTTTGGGCAATTGTTTGATTTTATTTTCATTTCACGACCAACAATGTCGGAAAATGGCAATATATTCTGTTTTTCATTTTTTTCTTGGCATTGTTAAAATTATGCATTTCGAATCTGAGTTATATTTTACAAGTAAATAAATACGTAAACAAAAATCAACTGTTCTAAATATTTTCAAAGACTAATATTCACAAAGTGAATTCACGATTATTTGAGTTTGCAAAGATGTACATTCAACGATGCACAGACATCCTGAATACCCCTATAGTAAAATAACACAATACTATAAAAAGTGCATAATTTTATTTTTTTTATTAATAGTACCTAATTGAGTCTAAACGTAGACTCAACTAATAAAGAATTTCTGCCTTAAAAAATAGCCTTCTTACATTTTAATAAGGTGTTTTCATTGTGAGATAATTGTTATAAAACTATTTATTAAATTTATATTACAAATTTTTTGTATAAAATTGTTATTAAATGCTTTATTTACAGAACGAAACAAAACAAAACACGAAACAAAACTTAATCTCGCTCTCTTAAGCTCACAATGTAAACGTAGTATAGCATTTGAACTTAGCTAAAAATGAAACGAAAGTAATATGGAGAAGCAACTTTTTTTTCAATTTTGCTTTTCAATATACCCTGTTACCATATTTTCTCATTGTCTAGAATAAAATTTTTTGGTATTTTGTTCTTCTTGGTGTAAATAATAAATGAATGTATAGATTTTCTCATTTCGATTTAAGATAAGAAATTACAAATTCCTCGGCCTTCTTCATGCAAACACGACACTTACCTTACCAATAGCTTCACAGCTAAACGAACGGTTTTAGTCAAAAATTCAAATTGTGATAAAACTATGAGTTTAAATAGTTTGATACGATTGTAGTGCAGTCGCTTATATGACACTTTTGCAAATTATTATCAGGCTGGATGTACTAACAGTTGTCAACAGTTTGTTAATCATATTTTTTGGTAATGTTTAATAGATTTCAGCAAGTTGTAATCACAAATAATAACTTCATAATGCTCCTATTTAGTAATTGAATACTTTAGAATTTATTCACGAGTTTAACACGCTAAATAAATATCGTAAAAAGAGTTGTAGTGGTTTGTTATGTTGGGGTTTATTTCGAATTTAACACTCCGTATTGGTAATGGATAAGTTAATTTAACACTCCGTATTGGTAATGGATAAGTTTATTTATTTCTTATACTTAGTTATTATAAAATATTCTTAAAGTTAAAATTTGTGTTTTTTCGTTTTATTCACGTGCTGCTTTGTCTTTTTCCAAACTACTACTGGCGGGAACTGCGGCTATTGTTGTCTCCTTTGTGCCTTGTTGACAGTTCTTTTATTTATATTTTTTGGTGCTGCCAC